CACCTGGGCGCCCAGGATGCCGCTCACGATGGCCACTTGGTGCAGGGTGCCCAGGGCGCCGCGGAGCCGCGTGGGGGCGATCTCGCCCACGTACATGGGCACGAGCCCCGACACCAGCCCTGCCACACGCGTGTGCACGCGTGTGCGTGCGGGGTCACGCGTGTGCGGGGTCACGCGTGTGCGTGGGGTCACGCGTGTGCGCGGTCACGCGTGTGCGGGGACATGGGGATGTCCCCCCCCCCCCCTGCACACGTGTCCCCGCGGCTCTCCCTGCCTGCACACGTGTGTGTCCCGACTGCACATACGTGAACGCACGTGTCGCTGGGCTTCTCCGTGCGTGCACACACGTGTGTGTCCCGCGCGCACACGGGCGTGCCAGGGGCTCCCCCACGCGCACACGCGTGTCGCCCTCGCGCACACATGCATGTCCCCACATGCACACGCGTGTCCGCGGCGCACATGCGTGTCCCCACATGCACACACACGTGTCCCCACACACACACGCGTGTCCGCAGCGCACACGCGTGTCCCACATGCACACGCGTGTCCCCACATGCACACGCGTGTCCCCGGCGCACACGCGTGTCCCACATGCACACGCGTGTCCCCACATGCACACGCGTGTCCGCCGCACACACACACGCGTGTCCCCGGCACACACACACGCGTGTCCCCGGCACACACACGTGTCCACGGCACACACACACGCGTGTCCCCCTTGCGCACACACGCGTGGCCCCGTGAACAGACATGACCCCCACATGCACACACGTGTCCCCACATGCACACACGCGTGTGTCCCACATGCACACGCGTGTCCCCGGCGCACACACGTGTCCCCACATGCACACACACATGTATCCCCCCACACACACACATGTGTCCCCACATGCACACACACGTGTCCCCACACACTCACACGCGTGTCCCCACATGCACACACATGTATCCCCACAGACACACACGCGTGTCCGCGGCGCACACGCGTGTCCCACATGCACACGTGTGTCCCCACACACACGCGTGTCCCCGGCGCACACACACGCGTGTCCCCGGCGCACGCACACGCGTGTCCCCGGCGCACTCACACGCGTGTCCGCGGCGCACACGCGTGTCCCCACACGCACACACACGCATGTCCCCACACACACACGCGTGTCCCCGGCACACACACGCGTGTCCGCGGCGCACACGCCTACCTGAGTATGCGCCGGCGAGGAAGCGGCCGAGCGGCACGAGCGCGTACGAGGGCCCCATCTTGGCCAGCCCCATGAGCGCCCCCCCCGCGAACGCCAGCGCGTTGCTCACGATGAGCGCCCCCTTCCTGCGGGGGGGGCACGGGCACGCCCACGGGCACGCCCACCCGTCAGGGACACGCCCACCCGTCAGGGACACGCCCACGGGCACGCCCACCCGTCAGGGACACGCCCACCCCATCCGGGACACACCCACCCACCCGGGACACGCCCAC